GACCGCCGGCCGCGGATGCGCCGCTCCGCCCCGGCTGCCGGCGAAGGAAGAAAAGTTTGGGGGCGACTTAGGGCCGCGGGAGCGCCGGAGGAGAAGGCGGATGCACGGTTTCCCCGGCTGATCGGGAAGGAAGGATGACCGAGGGAGGATGTGCACCAGCAGCCAGATCATCGGGAGCCTCCTGGTGCTCTCCGTGCTGGAGATAGGGTTAGGGGTGTCCAGCGTGGCCGTGGGGGCGGTCAGTTTCAGCCTGGTCCTCACAGAGCATAAACCTCAGCTGGGAGACTCTTCTCCGGTATGGAGCGGGGTGTGTGTACGTTAGCCATTTCACTCTCTCTTTAACTCTTTATGGTGATGGTCAGACCGTGCGAAGGCATCCCTCTCCTTTCCCTCTCCTTCCCTTCCGCGTGTGCATGCTGCGCCGAGAGCCTCGCCGGGTCCATTTCCGATGTGCATGGGGTACGGTCTGCATACTCGTGGGGCGAGGGAGGAGGCACGGCGGGGAGAGACGGATGTTTGTGTTGGCGGGGGGAGACCCTTTCTTCTCGCTCCTTTTCATTTTTCAATTTTGCTGTGAACAACTGAACTTTCTGTGAACCCATTTTCACACCTGGGAAAGCCTGATGCCTCGAGTGGAACATGGGCCGTAGCTCTCAATCTTTAAATTGATTGTGAGTTTTGCTTTTAAAAAAGAACAGCCCTACCGCTTCTGATGAGACTGTCAAAAGGTGTTTTAAAATAATGGCAAGGGTATGTCAGCTGAGTTCTGAGCCTTTGGACGAAAGAGATAAAGAGGAAAAGGGAAGGAAAAGGAAAGATATGTTCTCATGATCTGGGCACCCGAGCTTCTAGTAAAATGAACAAAAAAATCAAACACCAATAATGGGTTAATAGAAGCAGCATGTGCATATCACAGAGCATTTCTCACTTCTCAAAAACCTTTCTTATTTTTTCAGTGTGAGATATGCATGTTTCTAGGAAGAATTTTCCTCCAAATGGTTATTTATATTTATGAAACAAAGAGTAGAAAATACTGAATATTCAGCCTAAACATGAGTGGGCATTTTTGGACTCCAAAGCTGGTTTTGGCCAGCTTGGATTGTACAGCAGTATTTCTAAAAGGATTGTTTGCTTTGCTTGAGATAAGATGATAAATGCAAAACACTCTTGGTTATTCATCAGAGTAACCGCCTGTAGTTTATAGATTCATTCTGACAAAGTGCTTCATGTAATATTCTCATTGTCAATAATTGTTAATTATTGACAAGTCATAAATATTTTTGACAGTATATAAACACCCATATAATCCTGCACTGCAGAGCAGGTAGGTGAGAAATGAGAATGAAGAGCAGATAAGACAAGACAGTAGCCAACAGGTAATGATATTATCAAAATCACTTCGAAGAGGGAGGTTTCTGATCATTGCTGATGAAGAAAAAAGATTACTCAAAAAACATGTGTCTGTCTGAAGATTTAATGACAGAGGGCAATATCCTGGGTTTCACTGAAGTCAAAGAGTTTTGATCAGTCAGTGAGATCAGTATTTTATGCAGTGATTGCATTTTGTGACAATGGTATCACAGCTGATACCATTTCATGACGATGCACATTTCCTGCACAACTGCCTCATTCATTTTTACGCCTTCTGTTACCCCAGAGTTTGTACTAGCCATAGATTAAGATCCTATTACATTAGTTGTTGGCTCCAAGGACCTTATAATCAAAGCAAGAGCGAGATATAAGATAAAATGGTGTAAGGGAGTGTAAAGGAACAACAAGCCAAAATTGATTGGTATAACAGGTGGTCGCATTAAACACCAGCAGTCTGGCTGATTTGAGGCTGTTTGTAGGTAGAGTTTTAGAGAGGAGTAAGACAGAGGATAATGAAGTGATTTTGCAGGTGTTTATAGGAAATTATTCCCATATGTGAATGAAGAGGCATGGAAGGGAACACAAAGGGACTTGTTTGAAAGTGTAACAAGTGGGTGAAGGATGCCCACAACCAGAGCCAGCAGAAGCAGGGAACTCAGCCATCAGCTGCTAGGAACTCAGCAAACAACTGGAGGCTGGCTAGGCAGAGACAGGCCACAAAGAAACTGTAAAGTGGAAGCAAGCAGCTTATGCTTCATGTAGTAGAGGAAATGACAAGCCACAGTGGTATGCAGTGGGGTGACATGGTTATAAAGGCTTGCTTACTTTGCCTTGAACTAAAGATCTTTGGTCTAAATTCTCACCATTATGGCACCCTCTTTGTACCACTCCAGCAGTTTAAATTATCTGTTGGGTTGTGTTTGACTGACTAGAGGACTAGCAGGTGAGACAGGACAAGAAAGGAGCCAGAGATCTACCATTCTCCAGGGATGCTTAGGGCCGTGAGTAACTAGGTCCAAATTAAAACAACTGGAGACAGATTTGTTTGCATAATCCTCAGAATTGTCCTGCTGTGGAAATGGCATAAAATGCTCACTGGATCTTACAGTGAGCTCATGTTGCCTGTATTAAAGAATACGCCTTGCACTCTTGAATCAAGGTTTTCCTTTAACAATAAGGAAAAGAAAGAGACATTAAAGGAAAAGCTGATACTTGGACATGTTAGGATGCAAAACACTGGAGTTAAGTTGAACAGTGTCATGTCTCCTGTTGTAATTTACCTGGAAATAGACTGAAAACTTTTGACCCTCTTCTATCCTTTACTTATGTGGGTGGAACTCAGCAGAGGCACAGGTACATAAGGAAGTAGATGAAGATAGCATCACCATGGAAACCTTAACCTGAATTCCTACAATTTGGGCATCTTAAAATCATGCACATGCTATCTCCTATGCTTGCCTCCCTATGAAGCTTTGCATTTGACGCACATTAGCTTTCTTCTTAAAAGTTGTTCTTATTGTTCACTGTCTCCATTCAACCAGATAATTTACTAACAGACCTAACTTTAAGCATGTGAATCCCTCCCATAGGATTAGAGATACAAGTGAAGTTAAGTATGGGCTGAAATGCTCTGATCATTGCACGCCATGCGTTATGTATACACAAGCCAGGGAAAGCGGAGTAGACAAGAATGAAGAAATGGAAAGCCTAGACAATGTCTACATCAAAAATGCATGGAAATGGGAAAGTAGTTTCTAAATTTGTTATTCTCATTGGAATTGAGCTGGATTAAGATAGTAAGAGTTGTTTAAAAAGTAGCCAAAAGAAAACAACTGAAGGTGTGACTGACTTCTCAAATTATCTGGAGCATGTGGTGGTGACTATCCAATCTATTTTACATCATATTCAATCTGTTCTTTTAAAAATAGGTCACAGCTGCCAAATTAAAAAAAAAAAAAAAGAGTCCCATAAACCCAAAGGTGAACATGTTGTTGATTTCTGGATTTTCTTTCCGTTTGTTGTGATTGCATTGGTATAATCTACCCCACAGGCTGTACTCAGTGCCTCCCAGATTTTTTTCCAGAAATCGAGGTATATTTCTAAAATCCACCATTCCAAGTCAGTTATGTGACGTACCATAGAAATGATCCAATGAGCATGCTGAACCACTAAGCAAGAATGACAGCATCCATAGCAAAGGCTTTTGCACAAACAAAAAAATCAGAAGATAATCTTTCAAAAAGTATTCACAGATATTTTTTAAATGGTCATACACTTTCACATCTATATTTTGAACGTAATTATTGCATCACTATTATTATGTTTAGTGACTATACATTCACACATGCACGTATATGGCTCTAATTCTCCTTTATTCTGCAGTGGTGAATAAATTCTTGAGATTCTCTCACAGAGGGAGAGAACGAGAGAAAAAAGCCACATCTTTAGTCAAATATGCCATCTATCTTCATATGCAAGGAGACCTGATGATTCCCTTATGGCTATGCCCCTCAAGAGCAATAGTTTCTTCCCTTACTATGACAGATATGTTGGTCACTCTGCCTGTAGGGGCAGAGTTATAGATTACATGATTTGTGATTGTACCACAGTGGAAGTCTGCATGCCCATTAAAAATCTGCATTTATAGTTTGGCTACAGAAATTTGCTCCAAGTTGGCACTTGAAATATTTTATTTCAATTACTTTTTTTTATCCAGGAATTGAAGGAAAGGAAAAAGATTCAGTCAGTGTATGGAACACTCCCAGAGCAAGAACATCATTTTAGACTGTTAAATCAATGTTGGTGGCCTAAAATTTTAAAACATTAAATTTTGCATCTAGTTTTTACTGCTGCCAAGTTTCCTTTGGAAAGAACAGTCAAACTATTTTTTTTTTTCCAAAAGAACACTAAAAAGTTCACATTATTGTTTAGCATGCAGACAAAATGCAGATGTGATCCTACTTTATTTTAACATGTGTATTGCATTTTCATCAAACTGACCATATTTCTGGCTGGCTCCTGCTCCTGATGAAATGAATCGCAGCACTGTCAGTGAGCTCAGTGGAAGCTGGAGAATGTTCTATACCTATAGATGAGGGAGGATGTATCCAGCATGGGAGCTTCTTGCCTTGCATGGAACCGGGACAATTCATTCCAGCTGATGAGTCTTTCAGTAGGTTTTCTTTATGATTCAGATCCTCCAGAAGCACAAACCAATATCGAAGACAGTCTATCCAAGGGGACTTGTAGTATCTGGCTTGTATTTAAGAGGATTTGCTGAATATAGACTGACTTAAGCATATGCTTAAATCTTTTGCTGAGCTAAAACTTTAGTTCACCTGCAGGAAATAATCTTTATTACTTTTAGAGAAGAAAGCAGTCATAGTCTAAACTAAATATTTGATTTAAAAAACAACAAAAAGCATTGTTTACTATTTTTTATTCTGATAGCCCTAAACCAGTAAATAAATATTATTATCTTGTGCTGAGAATTTGAGTGTTTTTCCATATAAGCAGAGTTTTTTCCAGTCACTGATGGCAGGTAGACTTTCAGGTTCAGAGACCCACTTCTAAGTTTTCTTGAGTGTTTCTAAAAACATTTCCCATTTTTAAGGCATCTCTGCAGTCTTAGAACCAGACTAAAGGAAACACTAATCACATGGACTGGGATGGATTTTAAACTGCCTGAATCTGGCTTGAATCTGGCAAATCAGTAGGAATTGTAGCATTGCATCAGCTAATATGACCTGGTAGCACACTGCCAGGTCAAGGTATGAGCTCAGCTTAGACATGTTTTAACAGTATGTCTCACTTCAAATAGCAGAGCCCCCCTCTCAGCATGACAGATTTCGTGGGACACAGGGTTGGATTGTGGCAATGCTGTTGCTTATGATGTTGGATCTGGATGACTTGCAGCCAGCTAGACATTCCTGTGCCCACAAC